TCTGCTGCGAAATAAGAAATACTTGAACATGTCACTTGGTGGCACCAACTAGTAAATACAAAATATACGGGTGTCTCTGTGTACATGGAGATTCGGGTGCTTCGTCGCGCAGTTCAGTGTGGGTAAGTAGTTTCCATCTTGCCCTCCCTTCCCCTAATTTCACTAATCTGAACTGTTATTTTTTTGTTTTGTTGCTAAATGCTCCAGGCAAAAACAAATATATATCACAAATTATTTTTTAAAAAATGTGACAAATTTGTCAAATTAATATATATTACATATTTAAACATAATTATATGTCCACAGAAAACATAAAAAAATTTTAAGTACAGTAAAACTTCTCTACCTTGGAAGTTACAAGGGCAGGAAAAAACTTTGAGTTACAGACAATTTGAGTTAGAGAACATACCAATTCTGAATAGATTTGTATTTTTACCTTTCTTGCATTATATAAAGAATCTTTGATATATATATTTTTTTGTTTTAAACAGCCTTTGTAACACCTTTCAGCAAATTATTCAATGTAACTAATGGAATGAAACAGTTTTGCAGCTACATGTTGCAATAAAAGGAGAGGTCCTCTGGCTTTATCCAATTAGATCAATTTTCAGACAATGTTCCAGTGCAAAGCATGAGAGAACCTCTTGCTTTGGACTGAAACATTGTCTGAAAATTGATGTTGGAGATTAGATACAACTTTCTGAAAATTTCATGGAAATCCAATAACTAGGGTCACTTTGGCTAGAATAAATATTAAAATTTGAGTCAGGGAAGTTGAAAGTAACATAAATCAGTGTTGGGGACCATGAAAAACTTTGACTTGGAGAAAATTTGAGTTAAGAAATTCAAGTTAGAGATGTTAAATCCCTATGCTATTCCATTGAGACCTACCAAGCACTTCATTTCCTTCAAGTTAAAGATATTTGAGTTAGAGAAGTTTCATTCTATTTATTTGTCTGTAGCCTTTTTGATTTGTTTCTTTATAATCCTCTAATTGAAACAACCCAATTTAATAATGAATTTGGATTAGTAAGAGTAAACATTAATAAATTTCAAATTCTGATTTATTGTTTTATATCTATTCTATTAATAAGAGGAATAGACAATTACTTTCAAGCACTCTAAGTTATTAAATTGATTTTATATTTAAATTAATTAAGTCTTTAATTTTGTACAATATTGAGCTATTCCTGTCTAGATGTTTATAAATAATACTACTACTTGACTTAGGATATCTAAAATTTAAACCATATACTGTAATTATTGAGATTCTCAGCACTGGATTCTTCTTCGAATTGAACACTTTTAGTTGAGATGATCAAAACATCTAGTAGACATTGGAAAAACAATGATCAGAAAGCATCAGATTAAACTTCTAATGATAAAACAGAAAAACATACAAAATTATAAAGCTGAAAGATATTTTAAAATGCAGATATTTTTTTATGAATGATAATCACAAGAGAGCTATTTATTATCTGATAAAAAGTAAAAAAAAAAAATGAGGAGTTCTTATTTTATGAAAAGTAGGAAATTACAAAATTCCTGCTTTTCAATACTTATAATACAGTACAACCACAGGTTCTGCTAGCTTTTTAAGTAAGTAATAAAGGGATATGTGCTGATCGTTAGAGGCATTGGTGAACTTTTGAGTAGAGCTTGGTGTTGTGTATTGAAGAATTGGAAGGCTGTAAATAGATGGGAATGATTAACTCAGGAAAATGGATATTTTTTAATAGACTATCCTTAGAATTAATTATATTTTTATTACTGACTTCTGGGAGAGAACCAAATCCGCAAAATGTGAGTCAAGTGGACATGCAAAGAAGGGGGTGTGGTAGACCACGTAAAGACAACTCCCAAGAAAAGGAATATGGAAAAAAATTGGAAGATCTAAGTAGCGAAGATTATTATCAAATAGAAGGAATATCTGTAAACAAAGCCCCCTAGACTACAAGAATTACAAAAATTAATGATTATTTTGTAATAGTTAGTGATAAGGAACCACAGGGGCAGGAGGAACCCCAATACAAACTAAAATTGATTTATGAACTAATACGGGACAAATTTTCATAACTCTATTTTGAAATACAAGAAATTAAAACACAAATTAATTTACTAAAAGGAGAAAATAATTTTTTTCATGGAAAGTTGACAAAGTTATCTCAAAAAGTAGAAATTGAAATAATATCTAAGAACAACTGCCAAATAAAAGGTATGATAGAATTCTAAATAGATAAATTGATTAATGAGAGAAATAACAGGATTATTATAATTATTAATTTCCCGTTTAATTCACATGATTATGCTAAAGAAATAAACCAGTATATGAAAAAAGATTTGAAATATCTAACAGTTGTACTTTCGTCGGCCGCAACCTCTCTATTAGTTACAGTTGTACAGAAAGTACAACTGTAACTAATAGAGAGGTTGCGGCCGACGTTTAATTGCAAAATCGTGTACGTCGGACGTTCAGCGCCCGCTTCCTGTAAGCTTAGAAGTTTAACAATGGCTTTTGATATGTCGAGCATGATTCCACTGACGTTCCAAATGCCATTGTCAAACTTCTAGGCTTACAGGAAGGCGACACTAAACATCCGACGTACACGTTTTCACGATAAAAATGTCGGCCGGAACTTCTCTAATGATAAAAATATGCCAATAGTGAAAATTTCATTGGATTCCTTATTTGATAGAAACTTCATTCTTAGAGAGTTTTGGAAGAAGGAAGATAGGGTCAGTAAAAAAGGAGAAAAAAATTAATATTCACCACAGTTCTATGTAAAAGATCAAGAATAAGGAGAAAAAAATTATTGCCAACAATCAAAGAGGAAAAACCTAATGGGAATAAAATAATCATAAGAGACGATTACTACATTAAGAATAAACAAAATACTCTTATGATATCAACATGGAGAAAGTGTTTCAATTGAGTGGTGTTTAAATAGGATCTGATTATCAATTCGAAATGGTAGATAAATAGAAGGATCAAAGTATTAGTCATATGATTATTACAGTCATGGAAATAGGATTTTAAAGAATATATTTAAACTACATTCATACTTTATGATAACAACTATTGAATGTTCTGTTGACAAGTAATCTATAATAAGTACCATGATTTTATAGTTTGGACTTTATCACATTTTTGCTCTTAAAGGATGGGGATTTTCAGTGTTGTAGACTAAAAGTGGCTTGATTTTGAGGTCACCACTTGCATTAGTGCAAAATAAAAGAGTGAGTCTGTCCTTCATGGGCTTGTGCCCGGGAAGTGCTTTCTCTTCTTGGGTTATGTATGTTCATCTAGGCATTCTCTTTTCCAAAAAAGACTGGTCTCATTTCAATTAAACACTTGATTCCAGACATATCCTTCACGTCTGGAATCAAGTGTTTAATTCCAGACGTGTCAAGTGTTTACAAACTCTGTGAATTCATCTACAAATGCTTTTGCTGCTTTTTCATCTGAACTTGAAGCCTCCCCGTGTCTTTTGACACTGTGAATGCCAGTTCGTCGACAAAACCTATCAAACCACCCTCGGCTTGCTTTAAAATCCTGCCTGTCTGCACTTGTACTGAGTGTCTGGGTCAACAAGTCATTGTATAAATTTTTAGCTTTTTCACAAATTATAGCTTCACTAACACTGTCTCCAGCAAGTTGCTTTTCATTAATCCATATTATCAACAGTTTTTCATCTTCATCTAAAACTTTATATCTTTGTTTCGATATCACATTCACTCCTTTAGCCACTTTGGCAGCCTTAAATGCTTTTTTGTTTTTAATAATTGTAGAGATAGTTGATTTTGCCACATTATATTCTTTAGTGGTGTCAGAAACACGAATGCCATTCTTGTATTTTGCAATAATTTCTTTCTTTAATGCTACACTAAAACGTTTTCTATTTCCACTGTCACCTCTCTCTTTCTTCGGTGCCATATTGTATTGATTAAATATACAGTATAAATAACAAAACTAAAAAACAAAGTTTAGCACACTCGAAAAAGCAATGCTTACCTCATGCACGCCTAAGAGCAACTGAAATTTGTGAGGTTCCAGAACAGCTGGAAACTATTGGATTGATGCAAAAGTTTGTCCTGTTTTTAGCACCAGCTGGCTAAAAATGCAACATTGAAGTGTTATTTCCTTCACATGTGTAAAATTTCGATGTTGTTTGACAAAAGGGATCTCAGCTAGTATTTGAGAATAAAGTTGTGTTACTTAGTTGTGTTTTTAAAATTTTGTTAAGCATTACAAATGGCAGAAAATAAGGAGCATTTTCGACATATTATGCTTTTTTATTTCCGAAAAGGCAAGAAAGAATGCTTCGCAGATACAAAAAAAGATATGTTCTGTATATGGTGAGGGAGCCATTGATGATTCCATGTGCCGTAAGTGGTTCAGAAAGTTTCGTGAAAGCAACCTTACAAATTTGACACAAAAAGCCATTAAGTTCATTAACCGAGACAAAATTTTTGCAAAATAAAAGTTCGTTAACCGATTTGGTCGTTATCCAGGATGTTTGTTAACCAGGGTTCCACTGTAATTTGCTTCTTATGTTAAAACATATTCAAGTTAAAGACAAGTTTCTTTAAAGTAAATATATAATTTACATCTTTTTCTATTATCAATAATCTCATTTTTCATTCCAATTTAGGTGTGAAAAGTTTCACTACATGGAATTATTGTCAACCAAATAATTTTATATATTGAACTACAAGAAATTTTGTGGATGATCAGCTTGGTATTATAAATTCAATTATTTGACTTAGAAATTTTTGAGAATTAACTGATTTTTATAATTTATTTATTATAATAGATTATTTTTAAAAAATAATTTTTATGCTCCTTTCTTAACATCTTTTGAAGTTTAACTTTTTCAATACTTTACACACAGGCACATTGAAAATGCATTTTATGTCTACTGAAAACTTCCTTTTTGAATATTAAAATTCCAAAGCATAAGAATAATATATACAAGGCAATACAACATAAGGATGATCTACCAAAGGGGTATGTTTCCTGTGAAGACTTTCTATGGGAAAGTATCTCATATTTTGGAAGAAAGGAAGTGGTTCAAAAATCTTTTTAACATGTTCTGATCTTCAATATTGAGAAGTGTCAATATAATTAAATTAAAAATTTTGGTATTATTCCAACATCTGGATAAGTGTATCAATCTACTAACTTTCTCTACTAAATAACCACTGGAAAAAACAAAAGAAACATTTTTGAACAGTTTGACTGTCTGCCTCAGGTCAGTTACCTGTATTCAATTTACAAAGTTTATTCTAAACAGAACAGTGATAATGGACCTGAGGCAGGGCATTCAAACTGTTCAAAAACATTTATCTTTTCTACTAATAAACTACTGGAAAAATATACAAATTTCCAGTTTGGAATGATTTACTCATCTGGATAAATCAATCATTTCAATAATTTTAAGTGTTTGAGTCTAAAAATCATCTGAAGTGGAAATTCTCAGAAATATTTGTTCTTTTTTTTTTATCCTTCTTAAGTTCAATAATAGTTTTATTTTTACAATGTATTTTTTTATCCCTTTAATAAGATGTTATACACAACAATAAATTGGCTTTAATTTATATAAAACATTTTTAAAACATTATATAAAAGTATATTTCATGAGATTCTAAACAGAATCTCATGAAATATACTTTATTTTATCAAAGACATGTTTATCCAACTTATTGACTGTTTCTAATGGCAACCATTTATTTTCTTCTATTTCACTAGTAAAAGGATCATCAGTAATAACATCAATGTGTTCCAGATCAGAAGGAATGACCAGTCTATATGAATGCAGAAACATGCGATAAGGCATCACATCCTGTCGGTCACTGTAAGTGTAGTCACCAATTATAGTATGACCTATATCGTGGCAGTGCACCCTCAATTGGTGTCTTCTACCTGTGATTGGTTTCATCATGACTTTAGTTGCAGGACAGTTGCAATTGTACAGACCACGTTGGAGTACCAGCACAACTGTCACAGACGTTTTGGGGTTATCACAATATGATTTATCACAGGTACACATGCGGTGAGTGAAATCCACGCGTGTATCATTCCCTATCATTCTATCAATCACAAACAAGTCTTCATTCACATGGCCATGTACAAGAGCCAAATAGTATTTTTCTACAGTTCTCTTTTCAAAAGCCTTGGAAGCCTCTCTGGCTGCATGTTTAGAGATAGCCACACAGATCGCTCCACTAGTAGAGTAATCCAAACGATGACAAAATCGAAATTTTCCATCAACTAAATGAGGAAAACACTTGAACAGTTGATTTTCTAATGTCAAAGGATGTTTTTCTGGAAAATCAGTATTAATAACAATATCTGGTTCCTTATTAACCACAATATAATGTTGACTTTGATGTAAAACACTCAAATTTTCGAACATATTGGAGAATTTTATTGAACTGCTTCTGTCGACTTACTTTCGAATGCATAACACAATCTTTTCCTTAATACTTTCTTTTCTATAGTGTTTAACGAACTAAATTAGACGTCTTAAAACCAAAATATGCACACGAATTTACTTAATTTAGACAGAATCATGTTGAAATTAGAAATCATCATTACACAGAAATATACCCTCACCTACAACACATGTTAAATGCCTTTTACAACGCCCCCTGGCATTTAAAAACTTCAAAATAAATAAATAATTAAATAAAACTTAAGTTAATAATTATTTTTGGATAATTTGTAAAAATTTATCAAATAAAATATAAATTTAAAAATTATATGAAATATAAAGTTAATTTCTGTTTTTAGAAATTTTGCTTTCAAAAGCTTTCACATGGATGTGCCCGAACGAATGTTCCATTTGCTATATATTTACAGTAACTTGCCGCAAATAATTCAGGTTCGGATCCGACTCGAACTTTCATAACTTTTATTTATGATTATGAGTTTTTGATGATATGATTTTTTCGATTCTTTAAACTCTGTCAAGTGAACCCACGATGAGGATGAAACAAGGCCCTCTTACTTGTTAGTACAAGGCAACAAGAATTAAAAATGTCTACAATGGGATCTGGGAAAATCTGATAGTGAAGGTCAGAGGTTGATATATTCAGGTCAGACCGCCCCGTAAAATGTTCTGTAGTCGTTCGCCCGGATTCGATTCCAGGTTCCCAAAGCGGTGGGCACCTTAACCCAGCGTGATATTCAACCATCAACCAAGGTGGCGCGGTTCATTAGGAACGTAATGAAACTTCAGAGATATCGCGAAATATAGGATGTTTCCTTTAAATTTTCCTTGTTTTGTAGATTAATTTTGGAAAAACGAGTAGAGTAGAATACTGTAGGCAATGATAATAGAGAGTGTATCTGAAAAAGTTACTACATTAAATCAATACATTTCTACATGTGCGTGTAATATCGTACGTAATACAGTACGTACGATATTCAGTCTCGTTTATTTAAAAAAACTTTCAAAAAATTGATAAAAAAACAATTAAAAAAGAGATTTTCAATAGAACAGATTAAAATTTTAAGTTAAAATTTAGTTATGAAACATAATATTAATAAAAAACCTCATGTGGTTTTTCCTCCAAAATCTGTATTAAATTAGAGACCAAGACTTTAAAACACAGTTATTTTTATTCTTTCTTTATAAGCAATGCATTTCGGATTAAAACTTCTTAATCCCTCTTCAGGCTTCTGACGTAATAAGGGCAATTTTCAGCCATCTTAGCTCCAGTAAGATGGCGACAAATTGCATCAGAAACAATAAGCGTCTCAACACAGAACCACTGCTCCAGTCTAACATACTTCTTTCCTTCGGGGTGTAACCACTAGGGTAGTAGCTGTGTTTAGCAGTTATTTAATAATTTTCTTAAAACTAAATTTCTCAAGAAATGAGAAATATTAAAATAATAACATTTTCTCGAGAATATCTCGAGAAGAAACACTAGTTAATACATTTTCTATCTGTTGTACTAACTTTGTTTTATGATTCAATCATGACATAGTGTACAAGTATTTGTTTTATCATTCTATTTTTTCCCCTTCCTATATTTTAACTATAGATTCATTCGATAATTCTAATGATTTTATTCCGATATTTAATCGATTTTCTATGGTATGAAATATATTTTTGGCCATGATTTTTTGGTCATTTCTGCTCTAGAGAATAGAATGAATAAGAAAATAAAATGTTCTGTAAGCGTGGAATGAATGCCAATAGTATTATCTCAGAATACTTCGTAATAAGATTGGAAAGTTTATATACAGTCGACCCCCTTATAACGCGGTAGATACGTTCCGCTTTATAAGAATTTCGCGTTGTAGGAATCCTTAAATACGTGAGCCAATCACAGCCCATCAAGTGTGCAGTTTACGGACTACGACTGTTTGAAAGGTTTTCTTCCATAAAATTAATTGATTCTAGACTAATTTGACTCAACATTTCCAAATTACGTATAATTTTTTGGGAATAATCCTTATAAACTATGCTATAAACGAAAAATTGTAGGATTACTTACCGAGTGTGCACGGTTCGACGACGCCATTACTTAAGCTTGTTTTCGTCGCGGAGCAGNTAATATAAATAATTTTTATGGCCGTTGAATAAGAAATGTTTCTTTCACAAGAAATGTATAAAATTACAGTACTGTATTAGACTTACAAATATATATAATTTATATAACAAACCTATATTTATATATATAAACCTAATTTATATATACAGTACCTAATTTATATATAATTTAAATATAATACTGTAAAGACGATAGTAAATTCAACTTGCCCGCCTAAAATCTCCGTAGCGTGGCGCTGAACGGCGGAAAGTAGTTCGGCTTCTCGTCCACTATTGCGATGACGTTTTACCGCATTTTACGAGTCTCTTTTAGCGTCCTTATACGAATATGGTCGCAATTTTTTCGCCGCGATATACGAATCCGCATTATTTGAACTCGCGTTATAGTGGGGTCTATTATATTTGATTCAAAGTGGCAGTTGTATCTTAATAAAACGGAAGTTTACATTTCCACCAGAGGTCACTATACAAGAATTACTTTACATGTTAAAAAA